AGGATCCCCGCAAAATGCGGGAGAATTTAGTTTGTGGCACTACTGCCATTTACGACTTCCACACTTAAGCTACGCTATGCACGTCACGCTATCACTTCAACGCGCAAATCTTCAACGTGCACATCTTCATCACCTTTCGCGCCATCCTGCTTGAGCGGTTCCTGCTAATTCCACCAATCATCGCACGTATTCAAACGATTCCACCAATGATCGCCAATTACTCCTGAAATAACCAATAGATTTGCTTACAATTTCCCCCCTGGGTTCGGAATCTAGAGGCGTCTTCGTGGGCATATGAACGGAACCAAAGCTCGCCGCCGCCCCGCATCGAAAGCTCATTTCTAAAAATGCTGACAAGCACTCAAGCGCCTACAATGTCGTGATCGCGCCCGGCTCCCTGCGTCCTCTCATCCGACCTCTGCCGAACCCAAATTGCTGCTGTCTACTGGGGCGGCATGCTCGCGGGCCCGGACATGCCCGTCACCGACGCCATGCCGACTGCCCCGACATGCCCGGCACCGACGCCACGGACGACACGGACGGCATGCCCAAGGCCCCCGACACGGACGACACGGACGGCATGCCCAAGGCCCCCCGACACGGACGACACGGATGACATGGCCAAGGCCCCGGCATGGACGACACGGACGGCATGCCCAAGGCCCCCGACACGGACGGCACGGACAGCATGCTCGGTGTCCTCCCCAAGCTCGGCTCAGTGAGCCTGTGTGCAGTCCCGGATGGTCCCGGCAAGCAATCCACGATCGAATCCCCCGACATACCCGGCACCAACGCCATGCCGACGACCTCGTCTAGTTCAGCACGCCCGTGGTCCCCGACCAGCCCTGCGCGAGCAGCACGCTCGCGTACCCAGACCATCACGGCACGGATGGCAGACCCGCGGCCCCCGATCCGCTCGACACGGACCCCATGCCCGCGGACCCAAAGCACCCCCAATACGGACGGCACGTCCACGGCTTTGATCAAGCCCGGAATGGACTGCATGCTCGCGGACCAGTCCGGCCCGGAGCGGATCTCATGCACGCGGCCACCGATCAGCCCGACTCGGGCTATATGCCGATCCTCTACTACATCGACTTGGACAGTACGCTTGCAGTCCCCGCCAAGCCCGATACGGAGTGCACGTTCGTGGCGATCGACAACTTCGACAACTTTGACACTGACGGCACGCCCGCGCCCCTCTAGAGGCCTTGCGTGGACGGCATGGCCGAGGTCTCTCAGAAGCCGGACATGTACAACGCGCTTTTGGGCCTCGACCAGCCCCACATGGACAGCCTATCGTAGCTCCCAGTGAGGCTCGTAGATCGGCGAACGACCGGAGCCCATGCTAGGTTTAGCTTACATTCGATTAACGGAGCAATATATCAAACCGTTTGCTTGATATACTGAAACCTAGTAAAAACAATCTCAATATTGACTTATCAAAGTCAATAACGACATGATATACTAAAATCTAGATAAACATGTCAATGTCGACATCTCTGAATCAACCATGACACCTCTATACTAAGAACTATACAAACATGTCAGTGTTGACGAGCCCGCGAAGCCACGTTGTCGTGGTTGGCCATACAAAACCCAATACGCATAGCCACGTGGCCACAATCACCATTGCTTCGTGATATCACACTGAAATCCACAGATGCACGCTCATTCGGCAGAGTAGCCATTTCATCGGAGCACCATTGATGTTCTTGTCGTAACGTAGGTCTCGCAGGGAACAGAGAGACCGAGTAGTAAACTAGTCCAAGCTTTTGATAGCGTGTTACCTTCGGTTTGGCATGTTTTGAAATCCACTTCAGCATGAAAGCGGCGCTCTCTAGCTGGTCTACACTCCTCCAACGCATCCATCTACTTACGTTGGAGCTCAAACTTGCATTTGGCGTGGAGCTACCCAAGCGGGCAAGATATCGTGCTGGCAAACATCAAGAACTACAGTAGCCTGCCATCGAGCAGCGGAAGCATGAATCAACGTGCTGTGCAGGAATGACAGAGGTGGATCGATGTACACCATATTTCAAGTCGCATCACGGACTCAGTGACTTCCTCACGTGCAGTACGTCTTCCTCATGTTCGAAGTCTTGTACGGCCACGGCTTCACCCGCAGGATACAATAACACTTTAGATACTGAACGGATTGCTTATTGACCAGGGTTCTGGGTTTTATCTCTCTCACGCTGACAGACTATCACGGCAGGCTTGCTGCCTCAGCGTCCGCATGCTCGTGAGGGACTGTCGCCGCCGCTGCCACACAGGGTCATCCCGAGCAGATTAAAATACG